ATAGATGATTTGAGACAATAAAGCCATCATTTGATCAAACAAATATTCATATATATATATATTATGATAAGTTTCACATGGCAACCATTAGCCAAGATCATTTTCATCGTTGGGGGGAGCGGGGTTTATCCATTGAGATATACGTTTCATATAATCCCCAATAAGGTGAATACAAAGTGGAGGGTTTAGTTTCCTTTGTCAGTTCTATGTATAATGAAGAGTTTTTGTTCATCAGCAACGAGGGGGGTGAGATGATGAAGGGCAAGAAAAGACTGAATTAAAGGTGGGTGTTTTTTCCTCACCAATAACGAGGGGAAAAGGAGAGAATAAAATGATGATGATCCTTTGATTCTTCTAAATATACCCTTCATATAGGGGAATGAACCCATCACTCTCTTTCTCTCCCTTATTTACTGTCTTCCTTCATTGATTCTTAAATAGGATGGGCCCTTCGCTTTGCCATCAACAAGGGCTGGTTTTAGGCTATCATGGTGGTTTAGCAAAGGGATTCTTACAGAGTTTATTGGCATTCTGTCCACCTCCCAATCATGGAAAAGAAACACATTCTCTTTTACTTTCTGATCTGATCATCCATGGAGGTGGACATACTGTCAACTGAGCTCTGCTTGCTTCTCTTTGTAAAACCCTTGTGATGCATTTCTTCTACAATATCTCTCCCTTTCATAAAGATCCAGGTAAATACCAATATCTGTAGTTTTTGCTCTTTCCGTATGATATTTTTTCCTGGGATGAAAATGCGTGTATGGTAATGTTTGTGGCGACTTCACCCTTCTTGTTATCCATACTAGCCACATAACCTAATTTTCACTATTTATATTACACCAAAGGAATGAGAAAAAGGATATTAGAGTGAAACAAAATTGACTATCTGCTTAGTCTTCTGGTTATCTATACTAGCTAGATTATCTTTCTGTTTCTTATTCATTTTTCTTTGATTTTCTCTTGCAGTATGCTCAAGGGCTTTTATGGTTAGCTTCTTATTTTTGCTTGCATGCATCTGTATCAGGAAAAATGAATGATTAAACATTCGAAACCATTTGAAAATAGGAATGGTTAGTTTCTTGAAATAAATGCTTCTAATTCTAGTATACTACTGATATAATATTTGTATATATTCATGTTGATCATCAAATAAGTATGATATGTTCATGGCTTCATGCATGACTGCCACCAATTTCACAATATCAGATCATATCAACTGCACTATTCAATCTGTGAAGTTCTGATACAGCTATCTTTACTACATGATATACATATTTTCTACAGTCTCCCAAATGCTTTCGTTTCATGGTTAGAATTTTTCCAAAACGTTTTTACCTTTTAAGTGCCTGTAGGTGTTGAGGAGGAATGCGGTGTACTGGTTTTTCGGTGTTCACCTCTTCTAGTTTAGATGGAGAGTTTCCGAGTGTTAGAATAATTGAATACAACGATGATTAGTTGTATAGAGAAAAAGCCCGAGTAAGATAAAAAAGATATGGCATCTTATATCTGATCTTTAGTGTTAGTATCAAATATAGGGTTATGATAACTAATTGTAAGCTGATAGGATAAATTAATAGATATGAATAGCAGATTTAGCTAAGGAAGATCACAAATCACGTGGGTTTATCAAGAGCACATCAGGTTTATTAATTGCTCGAAAGACATGGACTTTTAGAAGTTTCAGAGAATTTCAGAAGATATGGATCTCCTAAAGTTAAGGAATTTCAGAGACCTCAATGCTCAACAAGCAGAGGAATGACAACAAGATGTTGCTTCTGGTGGAGATTCAGAGGAGATATAACCGTTGGTATATCACCCCCACCATATTGTCAATATTTTCACTCGTTTGATGCCTTTTCCTTCAATTTTCTCATTCTTGCCTTTCATTTTTGAACTCTGGTTATTTAGGTCAATATTAGGAGGTGTTTTGATGGGAGGATATTGGTCAAGGGAACGCAAACACTACGGAGTGCACCAGCGTGCATGCCATCAACGATTTTGAGGTTAATGGTGCGGTGGGGATGGAGCCACCAGACCATGAAGCAACAAGGATGGTCATAAATATCAATTAGTCAGAGTCGATCTGAAAGAACCAAGTAAAGTGATTGATGTTATACCGGAGGATGGAAAAGACGTGCTTGAGTCAGCATGTGTTGTGAATGACAAACAGATGATTGTTAGTTATTTGAGCGATGTAAAGTATGTGCTCCAAGTAAGGGATTTGGAAACAGGTTCCATGCTGCATAACTTGCCCATCGACATAGGAACCGTGTAAGGAGAACATGGGTGGACTGTCACAATACCCATCCACCCTGCTATTGACGCAGATCACGATGATCGTGTGCGATGTAAAGTATGTGCTCCAGTAAGGGATTTGGAAACAGGTTCCATGCTGCATAACTTGCCCATCGACATAGGAACCGTGTAAGGAGAACATGGGTGGACTGTCACAATACCCATCCACCCTGCTATTGACCGCAGATCACGATGATCGTGTCGTTCCGTTGCATTCATTGAGGATATTGGCAGTAAGTTTCTTCTTAGTAATTCATGTTGGTTCTACTTGTTTGATCCACCACGCGTAGGTAGCCTTTACTCGGTTTCTTTCTTCTTTTTCAGACGATGCAACATGTTCTTTGTACGGTCTTGGATAACAGTCCGCAGGCTAACCCGATCATTGAGTGTAAGTCCGCCGGCCACCGATCATAGAGTAACTAGTATATTCTCGCTTTTCGTGACGAAGAAGCGTCACTTTATATATATATATATATACTCTTATAAACAAGTACTATGAATCTCCACTTCTAGAACCTATTTCATTATTTGTTTTATCTTATTAGAATATTATACTGTATGATTATTAAGAAAGTCATATTAATTATTTTATTTTAATTAATAAGAATATAATATTCACTGTACGTTTATTAAAAATATTATTTACGTTTTTCGTTTTATTTGACAGAGATGTAAGCTTATATTATTTGGTTGTAAAATGTTAAGTTATTTTTATTTAATTTGGAAGACTTCCATGTAGGCAAAGACATGACTAATCATTCGACGTTTTTTCTAACATCACTCAAGGTTAAAATGAGAAATAAAAAATAATAGGTGAAAAATTGTTCAGATTTTACTCACGAACAAATAGCACATTAGTAAGAATAAAGTAATATCAGTGGTTAAAAGAATGATTATTATTCTTAAATGTTTCATATTCGAGCATCAACCGTTGTAGGGTATTTGAGTGGTTATTGTCAAATAATTGAACGTTTTTAAATCATATACTACCACTTATAATCACTTTGGATTAATAAAAAACAACATATTCATTATGTGTTGCACAATGATTTATAGTGCTTCAGCTTCTTTAACGAGGTTTACATCTACTACTTTAGCTTCTCACTAATAATTTATAACATATTCACTAATTTGTTCCTTCTTTTTCTAGGCTCAAGAGTAATCTTTTATAAATTCCTTAGTTTTCAACAATTGAATTAGAACTAAAACCCTTTTTATAAATGGACAAAAGATTGTGAACAATAAACCTTCAAAAGGTGGGTGTTTACGCAGTTAAGCTTATTAAACTACTATATTTATAAGAGAAAAGAAAAAAATAATAATGAAATAACTTTTTCTCTTGATATGGATTGTGTGTATAGGTGTTATAATATTCTTCAAGTATCTTTAACTTGTTTTTTTATGTTAGGATGTGTTTGTCATCGTTACTAGCTATTGGTAATTTAATTACTGTCCAGACCAAGGAGTATCGGTATTCGGAATAGGAGAATCAGTACTCTCCTAATAACTTTTAAATAAAATTGTCGTTTATGACCGTTGGGTTAGGTGAGTATCGGTACCAAAATTACTTATTGGAATCCTGACACCTTTGAAAATAACAAGCAGAATTGGTACTGCTATATGTGTATCGATATTTCTCTTACATTTGGTTTCGATACTGTAAGAACATTATTGGTATTATTCATGCATCGATAATGTAATCACAGTATCAATATTGCTTTACCAGAAAATTGTTGTGTTCAGATTTTAGTTTAATAAATTTTAAATTATTTTTGAAAATTTTGAATAAATTATTATATCAAAATAGATTTAAACAATATGTATAAACATTTTTTTTGGAGTATTTTAAATGCTATTTTGGTGAAAAGAAAGAAACGATATTATTTGGATAAAGTTGCCTATAACAATAAAAATAAAATATGATAGTAATATTTTTAAAATAATTTAATATAATACTTATTTAAAAAATTTAATTAATCTATAACATATTATACAAAAGTAAATATTTAAATCTAAATCATTCAAATAATAATATATGGGTTAAACTGCACTAAATACCATCAAACTTTAGATAATGCTATTTTGGTGAAAAGAAAGAAACGATATTATTTGGATAAAGTTGCCTATAACAATAAAATTAAAATATGATAGTAATATTTTTAAAATAATTTAATATAATACTTATTTAAAAAATTTAATTAATCTATAACATATTATACAAAAGTAAATATTTAAATCTAAATCATTCAAATAATAATATATGGGGGTCAAATGCACTAAATACAATCAAACTTTAGGTATTGTATCATTTATATCACTGAACTTTTAATTATGTCAAATATAATATTGAAATTTGATTTTCATTTCAATTAAACTACTGGCTTGTTAAATTGTTAACGGTCAGATCAAAACGACATAATTTTTATAATATGTCTATATTGACAATCGTCAGCCATTATCTATTATGTTGTTAAAGATTTAACAATTTAATAGTATAATTAAAACAAAATTTTAATACTATAATTACTAAAATTAAAAGTTTAATTATATAAAAATTCGACACCAAAAATTTGATGGTATGTACCCTAAAATTTAAAATGGGTACATATTGGAGAAAAATGGCGAAAACTAGTCTTCTCTAGGCGGCCTTAACCAAGTAAGCTGCTTTTGTTTTTTATTCCTTCTCCTATATATAGTTGTAGATGATTTCACACGCGAGCCACGCGATCCTTATCAGAGTTCCCCATTTTACGTGCCGTGTCGGAAACCTCGGTCCCAAATTACTTGCGAAAGTCTCAGCACGGCCAAAGACCTTCCATTTCCTCAAGCCTTCTTCTTCGAAGCTCCAAAAACCGTCTTTGTTCTCCACTGCTAGACTCATGGGCTCACTCTCTGCGTTGAAAGGCCCTTTAGATTATCCAATCGCTCGACGAGATGAATCCGTAGTTGACGATTACCATGGCGTTAAGGTTGTTGACCCTTATCGTTGGTAATACCTTTTTGTTTTCATTGGAATTTCCTTCGTATTTGCTTTTCATTTTATTCAATTTTCAGATCGATTGTGTTGAAGATACTATTCGATTATTTCCCTATCTAGGCTTGAAGATCCTGACGCTGAGGAAGTGAAGGATTTTGTTCAGAAACAGGTTAAATTAACTGAATCGGTGCTTGAAAAGTGCGAGGCAAAGGATAAGCTTCGCAATAAAATTACCAAGCTTTTTGATCATCCGCGGTATGAGGTCCCCTTCAAGCGAGGCAAAAAGTATTTCTATCACCATAATACTGGTCTTCAAGCCCAAAGTGTCCTTTACGTCCAGGTTCGTAATCCAAATATTCAAAAGGGGTTTCTCTTTTTGTATTTAGGGATTCAAGAACTGTCCTGATGTGGTGTCTTTGTTTCTTTTTTTCCAGGATAGTTTGGATGGAGAAGCTGAGGTATTGCTTGACCCGAATTCGCTTAGTGAGGATGGAACCGTGTCGTTGAGCTCATTATCTGTGAGTGAGGATGCTAAGTACTTGGCATACGGGCTTAGTTCCAGTGGCAGTGATTGGGTGACAATTAAAGTGATGCGAGTTGATGATAAATCAGCTGAGCCTGATACTTTATCATGGGTGAGCTAATTGAACTTTCAGTCTTATTTGTTTCAAGTGTCTGTTGATGATTATTCAGCTTACTTTGCAATTCAATTTGGTTCACAGGTGAAGTTTTCTGGTATAAGTTGGACCCATGATAGCAAAGGATTTTTCTATAGTCGTTATCCGGCACCCAAGTGAGTAATAATAATGTTTTGATTAGAGTATAGACTTTTTAGATTTTGAAAATTGAAATGAGGTTATTGTATATTTATTATGTAGAGAGGGGGAAGGTGTCGATGCTGGAACGGAGACCGATTCTAACCTTAATCAAGAGTTGTACTATCATTTTCTTGGTACGGAACAAAGTGAAGATATTTTATGCTGGAAAGATCCTGAAAATCCTAAGCACTTTGTGGGAGGTAGTGTCACTGATGATGGAAAGGTAAAAAGGGTTTCACGTTTGTGAAATGGGAATGCATGAATAACTTTATAGACAATCTAGATTAAGCTACTTTTAACTTAATTTCACTGTATTTTCATGTTTTCAAAGAGTTATATCATAATGCTTTTAATGAAACTACACTAATTCATTTTGTTAACCGTTAGAGAACCTGGACATCAAATGCCAGGAGAAAGTAATCTATTTTTGTTTTTCTCATTTTTTTTCCTTTTACTTTTGTTGTGCAGTATCTTCTCCTAACTATTGGCGAGAGCTGTGACCCTGTCAATAAACTATATTATTGTGATATGTCCTCGCTCGATGAAGGTCTTGAGGGTTTCAAGAAAAAGAACAGTCCTCTCCCGTTTGTTAAGTTAATCGATACATTTGATGCACAATATGAAGCTATTGCTAATGATGGCACAGTTTTTACTTTCCTTACCAATAAAGATGCCCCCAAATATAAAGTAGTTCGAGTAGATCTGAAGGAACCAAGTAACTGGTTTGATGTCATCCCAGAGGCTGAGAAGGATGTGCTTGAATCAGCATATGCTGTAAATGTTAATCAAATGATTGTCAGTTACCTGAGTGATGTGAAGTATGTGCTGCAAGTAAGAGATTTAAAATCAGGATCAGTGCTGCATCAGTTGCCAATCGACATTGGGACTGTTAATGGGATTTCGGCACGGAGAGAAGACAGTGTGGCTTTTATTGGTTTTACCAGCTTTCTTACTCCGGGTATAGTATACCAGTGCAATCTAGGCACCGAGGTACCAGAGATGAAGATATTCCGTGAAATTAGTGTTCCTGGATTTGACCGCTCAGAGTTTGAAGTCAATCAGGTTGTTAATTTATCAATTTGGGGAATTCGGACTTCCAATGGCATGCATTTAGTATGTTCTCTTATTCTTTTGTTTCTGTTTCAGGTATTTGTTACAAGTAAGGATGGTACCAAGATCCCAATGTTCATTGTGGGTAGGAAGAATACTAATTTGGATGGGTCACACCCTTGTTTGCTGTATGGATATGGTGGATTTAACATTAGTCTCACACCAACGTTCAGTGTGAGTCGTATTGTACTTACAAGGCATCTGGGTGCTTTTTACTGCGTTGCCAACATTAGAGGTGGGGGAGAATATGGAGAGGAATGGCATAAAGCTGGTGCTCTTTCCAAGAAGCAAAATTGCTTTGATGACTTTATTTCTGCTGCCGAGTATCTTATATCTGCTGGCTATACTAGGTCTGAAAAGTTGTGTATTGAAGGTGGAAGCAACGGTGGGCTTCTCGTTGGGGCTTGCATAAACCAGGTTGACTGAAATTTGCATGATTAATCCTCTCCCCTCCACCCCCTTGTATCTTTGTAACATTAAAGTTTTCATTACTGAGCTAATTTGTTCTTGGCAGAGACCGGATCTTTTTGGTTGTGCTTTGGCTCATGTTGGTGTGATGGACATGCTGCGATTTCACAAGTTCACCATTGGTTAGTTTGTTTTGCATGTTTTATCTTTATGGTATACTTGTTTTAGTGTTATATATATGATGATCAAGATTCTCTTTGAAGGCCATGCATGGATGTCGGATTATGGATGTTCTGACAAGGAGGAAGAGTTTCACTGGCTAATCAAGTGAGTGAATTTCTGTTGTATAAAACCTTCATTTAATTCAAATCCGTAACTCTGTAATACAGTAATATAGATCAGACTTCTACTATCAACTATCTGAACTGATGTCAAACATAGATGTAAAAGCTTGTCTTCTGCACCCGTGGGAGAAACAAAGCATAAAATGCTGGATGACCTGAAATCAAAGCTTAAACACAAGTTGGTTATTTAAAAACACAATTTCCAATTTATCTTATTCTTTTGCAAGGTACTCACCGCTGCATAATGTACGAAGACCATGGGAACAACATCCTGATCAATCATTGCAGTACCCGCCTACTTTACTATTGACTGCTGATCATGATGATCGAGTCGTGCCATTACACTCATTGAAATTCTTGGCAGTGAGTCCTTGAACACTTTTCATATATTTCACCCATCTATACATCACAAATGTAGAAGCTCACAAACATATTCTCTCTTACTTTGCTCCGATTGTAGCTGAGTAAGGCTGGTCCATTGATTTTTGTGTGTGGTGTTTTCTTATTTTATCAGACATTGCAATATGTTTTGTGCACAAGCTTAGAGAAGAGCCCCCAGACCAACCCAATTATTGGTCGCATTGAATGCAAGGCTGGACATGGAGCTGGACGCCCAACGCAGAAAATGGTAAGCGATTATTTTTAGTACTTGTTTGATAAACAAGCACTAGCAGGGATCGAGTTTAGTAAACGTAATACATCAAATGCAAAATAAATTTTTTTTATGTTTGGGTTTTGCCAGCCAGTGTTCTTAAGATATATGTCACATTAATAACTCGGCCTATGCAATGTTCATATTATTTATTCATTGGTGGAGCATGTGACATTGGCCTTGGGCTTTTTGTGTTGTGCAGATCGATGAAGCTGGTGACCGATATGGATTCATGGCCAAGATGTTGGGTGCATCTTGGATTGAGTAGCTTTTTTTGATGGAAAAGCTAGGATTGTTGGTCTGCTTGCTCCGACTGCAGAATTCTATTTTCTTATCTCATGCCTTTATACTGGGGATCAAGCAAAGATAAACTTGCCCTTTCCCTTGTTCAATGAGGAATTATTGCTTACAAAAGAGATTTTTGCTTTCATTTTTTTTACTGGATTATAAAGAAAATACTTTCACCATTTGTCATATGAGTCATTCTCCCAGTCAATGGGTATCGGCCGGTTGATTGTTAATCATAAAATATAAGAACACAAGTCTATAAGAAGAAAAACATGCGACCTCGAGCTGAGATCGAAGTTATATTCAAAGTAATATAAAGATTATAAGCCGAAAACTCTTGTATTCAAATATAAGCTGAACTTTCTCTGCCAAAACCTGAATATTCTATTCTGTGCTCGCTTAGAGGGGGCGGGTTGAGTGCGTTGGCAGCAGAGCAGAGCATTCTTGGGGATCAGGAATTCATCCCTTAACGAAGTTTATGTCGTGTATACTAGCAAATGTAGCTGTTGTCCCAGATACCGTCTTGCCCAAGACTCGGACCGTAAGTTCCACATAATTCTTTCACCATAAAATCAGATATCTTGTTCTTCCGAAAAACAAGTTTTATGCTGAACTAAATGAAGAAATATGTCGATTTTACCTGTCATACATCGTGAAACCGCGTCGCGGAGCCTGAGATTGTATCCCACCTACTAGCAGGCCCTCCATCCATAATGCAATCTAGAATAGTTGAGAAACAAATATTTATTCAGCACGTCTTTTGGATTATGGATGTGAAATGATTGTGCTTACCCGACAAGAAACAAGTTGTAGCCGTCGAGATGCCAACTTTGTACAATGCTGTCATTTTTCTGAAACACCATCTCCACGAAAGCCCTGTAGTCGGCCTGCATCACTGAAGTATCAAGGTAAATCTTTCCTCCATGAGCATTATCTGATATGCTTCCGTCACGATAAACTCCTCATATTTTGAAATAGTTGGCGAGTTTCAGAGGCTGGAACAAACGAAACACTGTTAACCGCATTTCGGATATGCTTCTGGTTGTGTTTATGAGACCATAGTGATATGAACCCTGTGGGTAGGCCTTGGTCCACCTGCTGTACGCTTCTTCCTGAATCAAAACCATGTGCATAAAAATTTTACAACACATAATAACGCTTACACCTCATTCTATATATTAAATACACTTCTTTCTCACCCATCCATTATAAGATATTAAGTGTTTAACATGTTTAATTATACTTCTTTTTATATAATTTATTCATAACAATGTCATCTCATTAAATTTATTTGATATTTTTTATTTTAAAATGAATAAAAGAAATACAACATATAAATTAGAAAAATACTTACTTTGTAATGATGTTTTGGCATAAAAATACACTTACCTTATAGTATTCACTTTTTCAAGTCAATTTAAAGACAATTTTAGTTAATAAAATAACTTATTTAGTGGTTGAAGTAGTTAAAAGGAATGAAATTCTCTTTAGAGGTTTTGGGTTCAAGTAGTTGTATCTCTAGTTTATGCGTGCGGATGAGGACAATTGTCTCTCCTAAAAATTTCAAATTCTTATATTTTCTTTATATTTTCAATTGAAAACATGTTTTCACCCTAAAATTATAAGTTCATTATTCTTTAAAATTTTATAAATTTGTCCCATAACATAAAATTCTACGTCAGTCCCTGATTTCACCCATTTATTAAAAATATATTAAAAAAATACATAAGTGTAAGTAATTTAGCTAATGGTTGTTGGTTGAGAAATGATTAGTTGATTCATTTACTATTTGATAGTATGTTTAAATTAAATTATAGACTACAAATGATAATTAAGTGCATGTGTCGTAAGTCCTAAGTCATAAACCATCTCTTTTTTGTCTTCCTATTATTAAAAGTTAAAAATGTTAAAAAAATAATTATAGGGTGTTATTTTATTGGGTTTTCCTATTATTAAAAGTTAAAAAATGATTCATCAATCATAAGGTGTTACTTTATTGAATTCCCTACTGTTAAAAGTTACAAAATGCAGGACCGGGGCTAGGAATTTGGAGGCCCTGTGCAAATTCTTAAAAAGATGCCCTTAAATATCAATTTTTTTTAAGATGACTTTATTAACTAGAAAACCTCTACTAAATTATAGAGAGAATGTCATATTACATGATATATATTAAGAATATAGAAATTCGTACATACTCACTTAAAACGTGATGCACGTATTACATTTTTTGAAACAAAATCATCTATAACACTTTCAGTATCAACTTCTTCCAAAATATTGCTCTCAATAGCCATTAAAGCAAGTCCATTTAGCCTTTCTTGTGACATGGTTGTCCGTAAGTATGACTTGATCAACTTCAGTTTCGAAAAACTCATTTCTATAGAAGCAACAATTACAGGAATTGTCAATAAGATTCTATATGCAATTGTGACATTTGGAAAGCAATTAAAACGCTTCAAGAACTTCAATAAATCCATTGTTCCCATTTTTTCCTTAGTTAAAATATCCCTAAGTAATTTTAATTCAATATACAAATCATGTCCATCACAATTTGATAACTCACCTTTCCTAAGAGCATTCTCAAAGTTAATACAACAAGATTGGAGTTTGATATCATCCATTGATTGCAACTTGTTAGAATTGAACAAAAATCCAAAATCACTCTCATACAATTCATACTGTTCAAACCTATTTTCCAATGACGGAATAACTTGATCAACAATGCAGATGAAATATTGAATTCTAAATGATTCCTCTGGAGATAATGATGTTTCCTCACCATTAAGCTCGTCAAATTGTCTTTTTCTACGTATCATACGCCTATGAGGAAATACTTGGTCGATTCCAATTTCAATAGCTATTGTTTTTGCAATATCCATGGCATTGGAAAATCCAACATCTCTATAATTCTTGAAAAAGGATATCAACCCTTTTATCTCACTCATAGCAATATCAATCAACATGTCTTTTGACTGTAAATATTTGCTAACCAAGTTCACAGTAGAGAGAATTCCATATCAAATGATTGTAGAAAGCAAAAATTCAAAACTACCAAGATTTCATTTGTAGCCAAGGATTTTGCTTCACTTTGAATTTTAGAATCATTATCAACATCAGCTAGTTGTAATAAGGCTTCTCGTAATTCAACAATTTAAAATCTTATAGCCTTAATACTATCAACTCTACTCTCTCATCTTGTGGCTGACAATGATTTGGGAGTATAATCATTCACATTTTCTTTCAAAATTTGCCACCTCTTTGTTGAATTAGCAAACAAAGTATAAATGTCCTGAACTATTCTAAAAAAATCTCTTGCTTTATTTGAAGTGTTTGCAATGTCACATAAAACCATATTAAGACTATGACAACCACATGGAGTATAGAAAGCTCTAAGATTCAAATCTAATAGTCTTTTTTCCACACCTTGATCCTTACCTTTCATAGTAGACCCATTATCACATCCTTGACCACTAACATTGTCTATATCAAGATCATGATAATTAATCACATTTTCTAACTCTTCAAAAAGCCCTTGGCCAGTTATATCATCAACTTGTAAGAATTCAATAAAAAAATTCTTTAATTTCAAAAGTATTTAAAGAGCCATCAACACACCTTATAATCAAGGTCATTTGTTCTTGATGATTAGCATCAGGTGTACAATCTAACATCACAGAAAAATATTTAGCCTCTTTTATTTTTTTGAATTATGATCGATCTAATTTTAGAAGAAAGCAAGAGTATCAATTCATTTTAAATATCATGACTGAGATAATGGTGACGAATCTTACCACTATTAATACGTTCAACATGCTCTTTCATCACAGGATCAAACTCGACCAACATTTCTATGAAACCTAAAAAATTTCCATTGCTTGTCTGATATAACCTTTCTTTTTTTTCCCACGAAATGCAAGATTATATGTAGCAAGATACTTCACAACAGCAATGATTCTTACAATAACATTTTTCCAGTACTCCTTTTCCTTTTTAAATTGTTCTTGAGCAACTTTATCAATTGTTTCACTTTGTTGCAACCTATGTCGAAGTTCACACCAAGTCGCCATACTCAATACATGATCAAGATTGGTTTCATGTTCTTTAAGTATAGTATTAAGATGCATACAATCATTAAACCCTTCATTTACTAAATGACCTTTTCTAGGACCCTTTTTAAAGATCTTGCAACAAAAACATAATACTTTTGTCAAGCTCCTTTGAATAAACAAGCCAATATCTATCAAAAGTTTCACCATTAGGCAAATATCTTGTATAAAAATATGAAAAAAAACTGCAAGAAAGTTTGTCGTTAGGGCCTTTTACAAGGGTCAAGTCTCTTTTGGGGTCATTTACAGCCAAAATGTCAATCAATTTTGAATCAAGAGAATCCCATTTTCTTGGATCATATATATCAACTAAAGCATATTCATTTTGTTCAGCATTATGGTCAATATGATCAGAATTATGCTCCAAATTTTGTTCAAAATCATTTGAAATATTGACATTTTCTATATTAACATCGTCACCTACATTCTCTATTGGTTCAACATTCTCATCATCAACATTAACCCCATCTAACTCATTTGAATTATCAGACTTTTCCTCAAGTTAGGGTTCCTTTAGAAAAAAATTATCTAGAGCACCTTTTTGAGATTGAATTAATTGTTCTACTCTCTTAGCTTTTTTACGCTTTTCATAACTAGATTGGTATTTTCGAACCATGTTAAACACAAAGCACACTCCTAGACTAAACAAATTATAAAATTGAAAATTACAGTAACTATATAAAAAGGGAGAGAGAAAAGATAGCACTAGAATTCCCGTTTTTCGCAAGATTAAGTAATCCAACTCTCCTCAATATAATCAGTAAATTAACCTCTGCAATCTATGTTAAAAAAATAATCATTTGCATTTACGAGCAAAACTATTAATGGTAATTACAAAAAAGTAAAATAAAAACGGGAAAAAAAATTACCATGCAATAAACTTTGTTGTTGTATTGTTGTCGTTGCTTTGCCAGAATGAGGAAGATTGAGCAAGTACTGACAATTTGTTTAACCTTGAAATATAAGAATTTATAGATCTTATAATTTCCTTAATAAAAATTGCAAAACTTGAATGCAATATATACAGGGAGATTGGTGATATTACTAACTCAAATCCTAACGGTATGAGATATGGAGATCATGAAGATGAGCTCATTTCTCGTAAAGTGGAGTTAGACCCAAAAAAAATAATAATAAAATTTATATATTTTTAAGATAGTTATATAAACGAAAATAAACAAATGAAATTAACAATAAAATTAAAAGTATATAAGTGAAAATTTTACGTGTTGGAGGGGGATGGGGCGAAGTGGCCTCCCATGCTAATGTTGCTTTTTTAAAGTGGGTATATTGTATTGCAGGAATTAGTGGTGGATGAATTTGTGACACATGAGGTGAGGTTTGAAGACGTCAACAAAGCCTCTGGAATTACTTCTGGAAGGAAAGTGCATCCGATACGTGATATGGATGGACAAATGAGTTCATTAACACGCTCTCACTGATAATAACAGGACTTTTACTTGCGTGCATGTCCACCTATTACTGCCATCAAGTATCCGAGTTTGCAACATTGTCTATATATTTTAATTTTCAATAAACTAGAGTTGTTTAAGGTTATCTCTATACCAAAATAATTATATAGATACATATAGATTATTATTTATGTATAGGTTGTATTAAATTTATTTATTTTAATTATATATCTTTAAATTTAAAATCCTAATATTCAAAACTATGATCTTAAACTCAAATTTTAAACCCTAAACTTCAATTCTAAACTCTAAAATATAAACCCATAGATTTTGAAGTTTTAAATAAGACGTTAAACCTAAACATGACCTTAAAACTCTAAAATTAACTATTGAAAGTGAACTATTAAAATATCCTCTTCTAATATTTAATTTTTTATATATAAATTTTCCTATTAAAATATATTTTTATACAAAACTTCCCAATTAAATATTAATTTAAACTCTCGACCCTATTAAAATTATTATTAAATCCAATATTAATTCACGATGTTGAAGATTTATTAGAAATAGTTGAAATAAACAAAATAGGTCTTAGGTTTTAATCATAAATGCATTTTCATTTTATAAATCTAATAAAACCTAATTTATGCCCATTGCCAAACAAATCCAAAATAATGATAAAGGAAAGGAAGTACATAATAGTTTATTACATATAATACTATTTCATTACAGTAACACACTTTTTTTTTACTTCAAACAGAAAAAAGGACACAAACATTAAATATGTAAGAAAAACAAAAAAGAAGCAAATTCCCATAGAAATTTTTTTACTTGAAATAAAGAGAGTTGAGTCTTCAGTGGGAAGCAGTGGTCTCTTTCTCCTTGTCTTTATCGTCCTCAGTTTTGGAGTGATAACCGGGGATCTTCTCCTTGATTTTCTCCAAGATTCCCTTATTCTCTTTCGACTCTTCTTCATGGTGCACCACCGTAACTTTCTCAGCTGGTGGCGGTGCGGTAGCCTCTTCATCTTTCTTGTGTTGCACGGGGAGTTTCTCTTTGATCTTTTCCATGAAACCCTTCTCCGGCGTTTCCGAATCGCACTTCTCCACCGGGACGGCGGTGTTATCTTCCTTCTTTTCTCCACCGATCTTCTCTTTAATCTTCTCTTTCAATCCTTTCTTCTTCTTCTTCTTCTTCTTCTTCTTCTCTCCGCTATCACTTTCTTCCTCGTCACTGGACTGCACATTCATAAAATACACGCATATTATATTTATTATGTGCAAATATGGGAAACTTCTTAAACATTAAAGACAATGAAAATACTTACAGAGCTGGAGCTGCTATCCGATCGGTGAAGCTTCTCGAGGAGACTGGGCTTCTTCTCACTCTCCTTGTGTTCCTCGCCTGTCTTTGTTTCTTCTATCTTAACTTTCTCGAACTCTGTGGCCACCGCTTCATGTTGAGGCTCAGCCTTCTGCTCCTCTTTCTTCCCCAAGAAATCAAACATCCCTCGGTCCTTGCTCTCCACTGCTCCTTGCTCATCGAACCCAGACACCTTGTTGGCATGCTCCTCCGCCATTTTCAGATCAAACAGAAACAAAACCACAAGAAATATAAACGATCAAAGCTACCTAATGTATCACTTCACTTAATACAAAGTTGGCTGCAAATTGAAGTTTCTGGGAGAACAATATTGGGGTTTTATAGTACTTGGAAAGAGACAATCGACTCACTGAACGCGGATCTAACGCAGTTAAGTAATAAAAATAAAAAATAAACGGAAGGAAGTTAAATGGGTTGGCAAATCGAGCGCCATCGTTTAAGGGATAGTCTAAATGTACCAAGTGTTTTACTAAACATACCAATTCTTTTAATAAAATAATAAAAAAGGAATGCTTTGTCAGCATTTGGACAGCAACCCACCTTTTTCTATGTTTCACGTGCGCTGAACTCAACGTACCCAACCGCCTCCCATTAATTCCAACCGGATCTTGCATAATATATATTTTCATAAATTAAATATTATAAAACATTATTACAGATAATTTTTAGCTCTATTTTTTATTCATTATATCAGATTTCAATCTTTAATTCTAATTAAAGAAATCAATATTATTTATAACATTGATAATTTAAATTAGGATAAGTCTACAACGTATGTTGTATACCACTATATATTATTAAAGCGACATATTAAAATATATTATTAACTAAAATGTTCTTATTAAGTAAATAATAAATTATACGTGTAATATTTACGCTATTATATAATTATACATACATGTATAAAAAAAAATATAAAACATTCATTGATAAATATCAAATTATTTTAAAAGTTTCGATGTTTGAATAGTTTATATTTATATTGCAAATTATTTACGTAATTGCCCACGACTCCCTTGGTAGGTCGTAAGCAGACTTCTTTGTCGGCTACGATTTGTCGAGCGGTTGATATCAGCGGTAGGGATGGACATGGGTCGGATAGGGTGGTCCAACCAAACCTGAACTTTGTCCTTAAAAAAATCTGACACGATCCGAACCCAATTTTTTTTTAAAAAAACCCGACCCGATAGTTTGAATTAAATTTGTCCAAATATGATTTGAATCAAACATCAATCTAGTTTTAATCTGGTAATTAAATTAAATCAATGAATATTTGATTTTTATTATTATATTTTTTAGTAAAATGATAGTGAAATGATAGTAACATGATAAACAAAGTCAGCAACAAAACGCCACGTGTAGTCTAGTAGGGCCTGGGAAAATAAAACTGAAAAAGGGTTAGTCCACTAATTGTTGTTTTCAACATGACTAAATTTTTTATTATTTTTTCGGTAGGTTTAGTAGTACCCTCGTTTAAAGTGTAACCGACATCTGCATTAAACTTTGCATAAATGTTTAAAAGATTTTCACACTCTCAATCTACTTGACTGTATTTCACTCGCTTTCTCCACCCGACAACTGTAAACATGCCTGTTGAAGACAGCGAGTATTTAAGCTATTTTATGAGATGCGCTGGTGGGAAAATAAAAGTCAAACTCCATAAAAGGAAAAATTAATTCAGCGTGTACTAGCTCAACCACTAAAGTCATGACAATGGGGTTAAGTTTGTCTCTGGTGGGACCTCGCTGGTTGGCTTGCGATGGTCGGTGTCGAGGGCCCCACAGAGGAGACTGATGTTAGGACACGTGTTGTGCGTCGTGAATACGTAAGAGGGTTCGAGATTTTGAAGTATTTTTTTCTGGGGGCGGTGAAACGGCTTCGTTTTAAATTAATGACTTGTTAATCTCCACTTAAATTTCGTCACTTGTCATTATCACACTGTGAGATGTAATTTAAAAAGATCACGCCTTTAGCTTAAAGTTGTGATGAGTTCGGACATTTATGGTTTTTGAAATTATCCATACCGACTTCAATGACATCATTTATTTATATCTATTCAAATGAGATATGTTAATTAATTGAAAAGGACGAGTACCAACTATGCCATTTCTGTAAGTTAAGGGACTGTAAAGAACATGCCTCATCATATGTATAATAGTGAGAAGTTTAATATTCATTAAGATTTGTATAAAATCAAACATTGTAGAAGCAGTGAGGTTGATTAATTGATATATAGTTAATTCAAAGGATTTTTTTTAATTGTTCGTTGTGATCAGACGATAGTATACGTTTAAACATAAAAAATGTATGATAGAGAAAAAATAACATGAATACATAATTATTCCAATCAAATTTTCAAGTGGAAGATTGTTCGTTGGGCATAGGAGGTAACAATAATTCATGCCAAAGTGGTGACTCTTCAAAGCCAATTAATTTCAAGTTCAAAGTAAGAGACTGGCAACTTGCAAAATAATTTGATGGGTTAATTATATTTTTATCCCTAAAACTTGAAGGCCATTTACAAGTTGGTCACAAGACCCGGTTATAAATAGGCCTTTTTTCATCCCAAACCATTCCAATCTTCTCTCCTGTCCTAATGAAGAGAATTCTCTTTGTTTTCTTATTGTATAATTGAGAGAATTTATAATTTATATTTTTTCTTAAAATGAATTTTTTTACCTTTATTTGTATTGTTTTATATTATTAAAGTATTTTACGTAAAATATCTTTATTATTATTATTTAAATGATCAATTATTACTTTATTCTGTTTGACGATCGTATATACAATAAGATACAATTATTAATGATAGGTGAAAATAATATATCTCTGGCCATTTATAAAATTTACAGTGTGACGTTACTGTCAATTTATTTTTCTCTATCATATTTTTTTCAAGTAATGAATTATTCGTAATTTATAATATGTAATCAGTCTCCACTCGAACCCTTCGTGTAGAAGGCTAAATAATCAGTCCCATAATGTGTGAAAAAATAAAAAAAACAACTGAGCAAATCATAATAATTAGTCTCTTGGCAGACAAATCTACGTTCTTAATACTTTATGGAAAGGACTTGAGTAATATGATCTGATGAAATATCAAATCTTTTAAACTGCCCCTTTTATTTAACTAGAAAATGATCAAAATAAGGACATCGAACGACCAACGAATCCTTTAAAAAACGTGAGCAGCAAGATCTACTTGCTTCTGGATATGATAGTCGATGGTTTTCTCAAACCACACACCTTCATCCAGATATTTATCATAAAAGCTAACTTCCACATCTGCACGTACGATCAATGCTGCACTACTCCTTGTGCCACAAAGCCCCTGGTTCCCAACAACCAAATGATTGTACAAGAGAGAGAGAAAATTAGGGTTTTTCATCAGCTTTAACATTGTCAGTGATAAAAGGAAATGCTATTCTTCTAGAGTATCCAAGGAAAAAGAAAGTAAAATTTACCCTTGGGGTGTCCATTTCAACAAATATAGAGCTATGGTTGAACTCCCAGTCGAGAGCACAAATGCCAGGTAACTTGCTTTTATCAGCTTTCACTTTGTCCTTCATAAGTTTCTCAACCATTTCTTTCACCACTACTTCGTTTTTACCATATTTGTTCAGTATTTGTTTGAAGCTTTTACCTAGCCGTTGAGCCTGCAGTGTGTGAAAGTATTAATCTTCTATTAATAAAGACCGAAGACTGGAAGAATTCATTTTCCTTTTGTGTTTTACCTTGGGCCATGGTGAGTCAAGCTTGGCATTTGAGAGCACATGAAGACCTGGAGAAACCTGTTGGATGGCAACAGGCTCCCCCAGTGGCCTGTTGGAGATATAAACCATTGATTTTGAAGGAATGTCAGCCACAATGAGGTTAAATCCGTTGTATAGATGAGCATCGGCAGCCAGTTGGTGGGCAAATTCCATGGGGCTCTTTGTGCTCTTTATCAACATCAATAGTTTCGTCACGTTCAATGAACCAGCCAGCACCATTGGTAAGAAAGAAGATAGAGATTTAATTACCTTGAAGAAAAGTAAAGGGAGATCGCCCCGTGTCTTGGCGTGGTGAAGATGATGAAGCTCCAACACATTGGTGAGAAAAGCTACTCTTCCTTGTCTGGTGCATGCAAGCCATGTCCCTCCAGCAACTTCGTCTCTTCCTCCCAATATCTCGCAACCATCAACATTCCACCATGCCAATGCCTTGGTAGGCCTTCAATGCCACCCATAGACTAATAAGATATACGAGGAAGAAGACAAAGAAGAAGAAGTAGAAGAGGAAGAAGATACCTGTTGTGGTATTCATCTCGGTTATGTAGCAGAAGAAGAGGATATAGTGGATGGGCTTGCCAAACGAAAGCAGCAATACACATGGTATTCAATTATTTGTGTTTGAGTGAATTGGTTCAACTCTTTAAAGAGAGAGCAGCATGGTCGAGAGACAAGACAGGGACCGTTGTCTCTAAAAACTTTAAATTATCATATATTCTATAAATTTTCTTTTAATTTTTATCAATAATCTATTGTTATTTTCAGCCATCTTATAATTTTATAAATTTATCTTCTTAAATTTTTTAAAAATTCATATTATTACCATGAAATTCTATATCGGAATATAATATAAGAGCATGCACCAAAGCAAAGAAAGCGGACAAGGGAAGAAAAAATCTGCAATTTGTATTGTACTAAAAGAATTGGTTTGTAACATGTAATAAAAGCCATCACAATAATTGACGAATGTCTCAAGAGCAATAATTACATCGAATTTGGAAGTTTATAGTGCGTTCTCTTTCATTTAAAATTATTTTATTACTTTTGTTTTATTATTTCTTTGTTTTACAATTTTAAAATAATAATTAAATTTTTATTTATAAATAAACAATTATATAAAGTGTTAACGTTTATATTTTAAATTTTAATTATTATCAAATATTTAATTAAAGATAAATCTTTATTAAAAAAGTTGGGGCCAAATTGCATATCAAAGCCAAAGTTAGGGACTAAATTATAGATCAAGACCAAATTGCTTCTAACAAAAAGTCGGGCAAATTTCAGATGAAGTCAAATTCATGGGGCAAAAGGCACACTAACCCTAATTGTAATAACAGCAGAGAGATCCTTGCAAAATGCAACAAGTAGATAGATTTGCTTGTATTGATATTGGATTGACCAAACACATCATTATTAGGTATGTAAACGAACCGAACGCATATGAACGGAGGTATGCTCATGTTCGTTCATTTAAATAATAAACGAGCATAAACGAACACGAA